TTTGCTGCGCAACATTGGCTTTAGTGCTATAAGACTTTTGGAATGATCGTAGTCTTATACCTGCGTCCAATAAGAGGAAATGCCAGTAGTGGTCAAAACCAATGCAATCCTGAAACTCTGTCACTTTCCGATTGTTTATTTTATTTAAACTTCTATATTTCTTGGGTTTCAGGTTCATTACACTGTGGAACATTTTTGCAATTATTGTCTGGGGGGTGAGAAATTCCAAGTCAGGGTGATGGTATTAGGTCTGTATGGTAAAACCCTCAAAGGGTTTGGCGTTCGTATGTGTCAGTTTTGTTTATGACCTTGTGACCTCATGACCCCTTTTTTTCTTATCTTGAGGTTTTTTCGCTTAGTTCTAACATTTTCGCAAAAAAAAAACAAAAAAAAAAAACATTTTCCGAGAATGCTCTTAACATCCTTGCGACAGAAACATCGTAGTTGTTAGAACGATGCTTTCCCAACAAGCCTTCCACTACTTCTTTGATTGCCTGCCATGCATTCAATATATACGAGTATCAATCAAAATATTGTTGAATGCGTCACTTTTAATCAGCTTTCRTATATCTGGACCATTTAGTACGCCTGATTGGAAAAAATTAATTTGTTAAGATGGAAAAGCATGGGAAATAAGGAAAAAATTTAAAAGGTTATAAAAAAAAACTGACATGCGAACGCCAAACCCTTTGAGGGTTTTACTATACTGACCTAGTACCATTACCCTGACTTGGAATTACTCACCCCCCCAGATTAGCTGTTGTACTGTGTTATTGTCCAATTAGAAGTTCGGAGTGTTTTTCCACCCATGATTTAAACAGGATCTGATCGGCAATGTAGAAGATCATTTGTATTTTTTATTTGTATAATTTTTTTTTATAATTTTTGGAGAAATAAAAAAAGTGGCGGCACGATTGTCGCATTCGGCTTCCTTTCTATACATAGTGCGAGGTGTAATAGCAATTAGAACATGTTTACTGTTCGCTACTTATCACCATACCATACCACCAATGATCTCATATTAAATCAGGATAGAAAA